AAGGATCTGATTTTTTTTATCTTCAAAATGCAGTGAAATTTTTCAATGTAAGATCTACTTATTAATTTTTCTTCTATCTACATCATCTGTTGCAAACTCTAGAAACAAGAGTCAATATTGCATCAAATTCTTTCATACAGTTGTCAAACCAATATATCTCTTCATTATAATTAAAGAATTCAAGTAATAAATACTTTTTCATACTTTAAACTTGGCTGGAGCGATAGCACAGCAAGTAGGGTGCTTGGGCCGACCCCCATTCAATTCCATCATCCCTCTCAGAGAGCCTGGCAAGCTACTGAGAGTATCCTGCCCACAAGACAAAGCCTGGCAAGCTACTCATGATGTATGTGATATGCCAAAAACAGTAACAACAAGTCTCAAAATGAAGATGTTACTGGTGCCCGCTCAAGCAAATCGATGAACAATGGGAGGACAGTGCTACAGTGCTACTTTAAAATTAACTGGAATAGAGGCCAGCCGGGCATTCTAGGGGAAAGGGCAGCTCAGACAGAGAAGGGAGCACCAAATAAAGGGTGTTTGGAGGATTCTCCCAGGAGGGGAGATGCATGTTGAAAGTAGACTATGGACTGAACATGATTGCCACTCAATGCCTCTTTTGCAGACCACAACACCCAAAAGGAGAGAGAGAACAAAAGGGAATGCCCTATCACAGAGGCAGGGGGGAATGAGGGGATGGGGGTGGGGGGGATGCTTGGATCCATGGTGGTGGAAAATGGGCACTGGTGGAGGGATGGGTATTTGATCATTGTATAATCGAAACCCAAGCACAAAAGTTTGTGAATCTACAACTGTACCTCATGGTGTTTCACTAATAAAAATTTTTTTAAAAAATTAACTGTAAATGTTTTGTAATTTCTTTACTTGCATTATATTATGTAATATTTTCTTTCTAAACATTAGGGAGTCTTCGCATACTGTGCAATGATTCAGAATCAGCAATTCCAATTTGAAGACAAACACTTAATCTTATGAAATAAAATCAGATTGTGAGTTTGATTATTATGTTTAGTGTCACTCATGACTAAAAGCAGGTTCAAGCACTACTCAGAGAGGGAAAACTGAGGGTGTTGTGACAATCCATGATAAGTGACTTTGAGAGAAACTATAATCTGTAACTATAAAAGAAACTGTAATCTGTAACTATAAAAGAAACTGTAACTACAAAAAACAACACCCAAACACTCTGTTAGTGTATACCAGCACCTGCAAATTTTCAATAAGTCAAAAGGTTTCAATTTTTCTTATAAGGACCTTAAAAATGAATTTTTTCTGTTTTAGAAAAAACTAAAGTTTAATTATAGATCTTTTTGCCAATTCATTCAACAACAATATTAAAAGCATCCTCCACATACCAAGCAATGATCTAGCTGAGCATAACACAATAAACAGAAGCCAATAGATTATTGCATCACAAGAAGCTATATGAAATAAATCAACCATCTACTGTAGGAGCACCACAGAGAAAAATAATCCGGAGAGCAATGAGAAGGCAAGAGGGTAGGGCAGTGATCATTTAACATTCGGTGCTTTGGGCTTAATGCACAGAAGACAAAAGGGCAAGAACTTGAAGTGAAAAAGGTACAAAACATTTTTGCTCTCTGGTGGTAAAGCAATTCAGAAGAATAAGTACGAAGGTCTCTGAAGAGGGATTCTGGCTTTTATTACTCCAATATTTAACCGAATAACAGCAAGTGTTTACCCTATTTCGCAATCTATCAGTTTATAATTTCCCACCTAAGGCCAGCAGAGAAAAGAAGCAGGTGTAAAATTTAGCCAACTATCTAATTTCATCTTTCACATTCCTCTATGGTCCCCAAGTCAAATCTGGTCCACTGTTTATAAAGTTTTACTCCAATACAGCCTCGCTCATTAGTTTACACATCATCTGTGCAGGCTTTCATGTTTTTGGCCTTATTGTTGTGCAGATTAAACAATGTTTATCTCATTTGTTACAGAAAAAATTGTTTGCTGACATTTTTTCAATGGAATTCAGATTGCTACCCAAACCAGCATGTCTTGCACCAAAGAAACCAAGCAGACCATGAGTTAAATAAAACGTAGTAACCTCTGCCAGGTAATATGTAGAAATTGCTTTGTTCTGTGAGTAAGCATCTTAGACTCTAAATAGTCATAACATTTTTTTTTGTTTGAAGAGCCACGTTGGGTAGCACAACAGGGCTAATTCCTGGCTCTGTACTTGGGAATCTGTCCTGACAGTGCTCAGGGGGCCCTATATGGTGCAAGGAATTGAAGAAGAGAAAGCTGCATGCAAAGCACGGGCCCTAACTTCTGTACTATCTCTCTGGACCCAAGCCCTGAGAGCCTGAGGAGGAAATGTGAAAACACGTATTTTAGGTTTGGTGTAATATATACTAAACAGTTGCATTTATTTCAAGCCACAGCAATAAAATCACTCTTTTTTCAATTCCCTGGTGATAAAACAGGGTATTTTATCTACTTTACTATCCTGTTTGATGATGGTGGGGGGGGGAGGGGAGAAATGGTGAGAATATAAACCACAGTATTAAATTATTTTATCTAAAGTGAAAAATTATAAAAAATGTACAGTATCTAACCTTAGGAAGGATTAGAGAAGTCAGAGTTCTGACAGCAAGCGGGGGAAATGTTCTAACTGTCCCAAAGGTGGCTATTATGATATAAGTTTCTGCATGTGCCGGGAGCATAAACATGTCAACTCTGCCAAGAGAAAGGTACCATGCCAGAGAAGCAGGAAACCATAGTTTCTGGGCGCTCAGAATCCTGTCAGCTAAATCTTCCAGTGGCATTATGTTGAAAAAGCCCTAGAATCGCCCAAAACATTGCAAGTTTAGAGAAATGAAAGATGAGGAAGACCACTGTTACCACTAAGGTAACAATTTGAGACCTGACTCACACCTTTGCTATCCAACGCCTTTTCTAGTACTACCGATGAGACATCAGTAGATCTTACAACTCTGTCATCATTATGTTACCAGAAAGAGGAGAGGCAAAATAACTGATACTGAGAAGTACTCTGCTTCCTTTAATTTTCTTTTTTGTTTGTTTTGTTTTTGGGCCATACCAAGTGGTTTTGCTCAGGGGTTACTCCTGGACCTGTGTTCAGGAAGCATTCCTGAAGTGCTCAAGGGGTTGCTTGAGATGCCGGGAATTGAACCTGAGTAGCTGCATGCAAGGCAAGTACCCCACACTGTACTACCACTCCAGCCTCTGGTTTATTCAGTTTTCTAAAAGAACAGAATTGCATATGTATTAACTACAAAGATTATACAGTATGGGGGGGGCTGGAGCCATAGCACTGAGGGTAGGGCATTTGCCTTGCACACGGTAGACCCGAGTTCAATTCCCAGCATCTCATATAGTCCCTCAAGCACCACCAGAAGTAATTCCTGAGTGCAGAATTACTGAGTGCAGAGTTACTGAGTGCAGAGTAACAGAGTGCAGAGTGCAGAGTAATTCCTGAGTGCAGAATTCCTGAGTGCAGAATTACTGAGTGCAGAGTAACCCTGTGCATCGCCAGGTGTGACAAAAAAAATAAACAAGAAAATAAATAAAAAAAGATTATTCTGTAACCTGTTAGTAACTACAGTAAATCGCTGCGCAACTGCACAATAACTGGTTTTCGTTTTGTTTTTGCATGCTTAATAGAAGTACTTCCCGTTCCCAGTAATCTGGGAACTACTAGGCACTTCATCTGGTAACATTTTTGCTAATAAACTTTGATTGAAAACACAACTTTCCAGAATGCTGCATAGAGGAGGGGAGAGCGGAGCAAGTCAGCATACAAAGGGACTCACCAAATGACCTGCTGCAACATGAGGTCTCACTCCCAAGCCAGTTAGGGATTCATGAGGAATATTTCAAACAAATATTTCCAGATGGCCACAATATCAGGATGCCAGAAAACAATTCTAAATAACCCTAATCCTGGATGGGAGATGTGTGCTGATAGTGAAGCAGTGGGTAAAGGACCAAACATGATGGCATCTCAGTATCTGCACAGAAAAACCGTAACGTCCAAAAGTACAGAGGAGAAAGAGAGAGAGAGATAAGCCCAAAAGGCTGCGCGAGGGGCAGGGGGGGGGAGGGGTGCGGGGGGGGGAAAGTACCTGTGGCAGTTGGGGGAGAGCGGCAGGAGAGATACTGGGGTACAATGGTGGTGGGAAATGATGTACACTGGTGGAGGGATGGGTTCCTATCATGAAAACTTTGTAACTGTGTGTTCCATGGTGATTCAATTAAAAAAAAAACAACCTAATTTCCTCCTGCCCCAAAGATTTCTAAGTCCTATAAAAATGTCTAAAGGACAGATGCCTTTGCAAATATTTCAAATGATAAATCTATTTTAAATTCAAGAGACTGTGACCTCCCGTGTAACACACAAAAATAAAAACAATCTACCAGTAACAATAGTAAAGCCCCGAATCTAACAATGACATCGTTTCCACTGATTACAATGAGCCTTGTATTTCCAAACAGAATAGTGTTCTGATATCAGCAAAGCTAAAAAGTATAGACTGAGTAATACTAACTGAATCGGTATTGTTTTCCTTTGTTAAAATGCATTGTAATGCAAATATAGAAACTCATCTAAATATCTAGATGTGAAATTGTGACCTTCAGTGTGAATTTACTGTTCAGAACTGAAAGCCAGCCTTCACATGGTCCTCCTTAGGTCTGAAGACAAGCACTGGCAAACAAGTCAAGGAAGTTTCTAAAACGTGTATCTGTTGTGTGTTTAGGGGGGGAGGAAGCAGAAGCAGAAGCCTAGCAGGTTTAGAAGTGGATGATCTTGAGGCTGGAGCAATAGTACAGCGGGTAGGGCGTTTGCCTTGAACACAGTCGACCCGGGTTCAATTCCCAACATCCCATATGGTCCCCTGAGCACCGCCAAGAGTGAGTCCCATAAAAGCAAAAAAAAAAAAAAAAGTGGATGATCTTGATTTTTCAACATGCTACTGATAAACATTCATACATACCCTTGAGGAGACAGTTTGTCAAGCCATCCCGATTTCACCTTCCTCACAGCAGCACCATAAAAGCAGGCATAGGGAGATATTGCATTGGCTGAATTGACTGGAGAGTCGGCATTTCCACTGGTTGAGCCTAAGGGATAACTATGCCTATTAACAGGGTCTAAATTTGATGCTTTCTGAGTCCTAGATTTTGATGCCTTTGAATTTTTTCTTCTTAAACTTTGAAAACATTCCTCCACAGTTGAGTATTCTGATTCTGAAGCAGAGTCGACCGGAATATTGCTCTTGTCCTCTCGAGGTATCCAAATGTCTTCTACTTTGTCTTCACTTAACTTCTCCCTCCGGTTATCATATATACTAAATGGGAGAGAATAGTATTATTACCAAGGGAAAAATCTGATTCAAGCCACTGATAATTTTTTTTTTAATTTTATACACTAATCATACAAATTTAAGGGCAAGAAAATCTCAAAGCATAATTAATCCGTCTAAGCATTTTTATTGTTAAATGCGGAAGATTGGTGCTTAGAGATTATTTCTGGCTCTGTGCTTATGAGTGGCACCTGGTTGTCCTACAGGGCTCTTATGTATTGACCAAGATTTGAACTGGGGTCGGCCACAATAACCCCTGCACTAATGCAATACAAGTTTGCCTTAATCCCTGAACTATCTCTCTGGCCCACTTCTGAGCACTTTTAAAATTCTTTGAGGATAATAACTCAGAAATATATGACACTAAGATATACGTTAACAGTACTATAAATAATATATTTCTTATTATTTTTTTCTTTTTGGGTCATACCCAGCTATGCTCAGGGTTTACTCTTGGCTTGCACTCAGGAATTACTCTTGGCGGTGCTCAGGGGACCATATGGGATGCTGGTGATCAAACCCTGGTCAACCGCATGCAAGGCAAATGCCCTACCCACTGTGCTATTACTCCACCATCCCCCCATACATTTCTTCTTATGTATAACACAATCTAATATTTGTTTTAATCCTGTTTGTCTTGGGGATCACACTTGGCAGTGCTCAGGGAACCATATGTGGTGCCAGAGATCAAAACTGGGTAGGCTATGTGTGATGCAAGGATCCTATGCACTAACCTCTAAAAAGCTTGGAGGGGAATACAGAGGGGTTTGGGTCACACCTGTGTCAGGGTTCACAGGGGCTACTAGAAGCTCTGTGGTCAGGAGTGATACCTGGTGAAGTTCTGGGAGCCCTATGTGATGCCAGGATCCAAACCCCCATTGTGGCTGCCACATTTAAGAAAAGTGCATGGCCTCTTGTGCTATCTGCCTCACCATTAATAGGATTTTCTTATTTGGGGGAAAGTGGAAAGAGAGACAGAGAAATGACCAATCCTTTGCTTCACAATTTCAAGATCTTCTCCAGCACCAGGAAGTGGCAGTTCAATCACTAATCCTTGGGAAACATCCTGAACCACTAGATCACCTATCTGGAGTTAGTTTCATCTGGTTGTCCCTGTGACCCATCTCTAATCCACTTTAAGGACCTGCTCTTCCATCCAATGGAACAAAACAAAACAACACAAAAACAGGGAGTCTCTCTGACTGGCAAGAGCTGTAGTATTTTATAATGCTAGTGAAAAATATAAACAAAACCGTACCAAACTGCTAGCTAGAAAACAAGAAAAGGCACATTTAGGAGGTAAAGCTGTACAACATTGTATTTCTTGGCACACTGTAGCACTGTCGCACTGTCCCACCCCGCCGCCGCCCCCCCCCCCCCCCCCCCCCCGCCCCGTGGTTCATTGATTTTCTCCAGCGGGCGCAGTAAGGTCTCCATTGTGACACTTGTTATTACTGTGTTTGGCATATTGAATACATCACAGGGAGCTTGCCAGGCTTTGCCGTGAGGGCAAGCTATTCTCGGTAGCTTGCCAGGCTCTCTGAGAAGGGCGGAGGTATTGAACCTGGGTCGGCCACACTGGCCGTGTGCAAGACACACATTCCAAAAAATGAAGCATATTCCTATAGATTTGAGGAAAGATGAAACAGATTCACTCAGCCATTAATAAAATTCATTATAAAAGGAGTTTTTGCTAATCAATGAAATAAATGTGCCCAAGTCAAATTACATCCTTCTCAATAAAGTGTTTTAAATTCCACTGTTTCCTTAAGGGATGATTAAACTCATAGCTTCCATAATCTGCATTATAACAGACTCATATTAAATGCATACTTAAGATACTCAATTACTTAGTGTCAACATAAGAAACCACAAGAGTGTTCCTAGCAAATGAATAATAAATAAAAGATAAAGCTGATAGTAATAATCGAGCATATGAATTCTAACAAAACTATAAAGACAATAAAATTTAGGTTGACAAGTAATTTTATTTGTGAACTAAAATTGGGATAACTTGCCAAAGCTAAATTTGTTCTAAATGCTTCTTTATATTTGTAAAAGTTCTGCACCTCATCTAATGACATTTTGCACTACTTTCTCCATAACAAAAATTATCTCCAAAGAGCAATCATGGCAACCATGCATTTACCAATTTGGGGCACATAAAAGCGGTTACAATTTGGAAAAAGAAAAAAATAATCTCCTAAAAATTATCTTTAACATAATTGGGTTTTACTCCTAATTTATAAAAAAGAGAAATTTTTCAAAACATTTAGAAGGAAAATATTGTTTTAACTTCCAATGCAAACTATTTTCCTACAGATATAATATATAATAAACACGATATTACATAAAATTCCATTTAAAAAATAATAACCATCAGTCATGGCCTCCTACCTTGAGTTGACAATAAGAGAGGTTTTATCAGTAGCTGCTCCTCCCTTAGCTGGTTCTTCAGTAGCCCAAAATTCATTCCTTATACATTTCTTCTATTTAAAAAAAAAAAAACAGGATTTTAGTATCACAATATTACATAAAGATGCACAATATAAAGGTATAGTTTTATTAAACAAATACTAATTATATCAATTTTTAATAAAAACAATTAAGGAATCTATGTGATTACAGAGACTTTTAATGTCTTTGTCAGTAATTTGTTATTAATGATTAAACATTCCTGTGAAGGTAAAAAAAGATGCTAATCAAGAATTAAATTTATTAACTTTTATTCTCCTAATTCCCAGTGCCTTTCAATTTGTATTCTAACAAGATTTAGGGGATGGGGGTGGAGGGTTAACAGCAAAAGAGCACAATAACTAGAAAGACTAGAAAGACTGCAAATAAAGTGAATAAATACATAGGCAAGATAAAGTGAACAAATTTGTAGTTGCAATGTTGCATTTAGAAATAAGTCAAAATAAAATGGAAGTTTTTGTCTTTTGTTTTCTTTAATTTTGTCCTTTAATAAAATAAAATATTGTAGAAAAGTAAAAATACACTGCTCTTTATTCTTACAATCCAACTGAAATTTTTATTATAATTATGTTAAAAAAACAATTTATCATGATTTACTACACAGAATTATAATGACTTGAAATTTCACTCTCCAATATAATGCATTCTTCAAACAGCTTTAGGTAAGGAGACAAATACAAGTAGAAGACCTAAGAACTTAATATGGAAAATTTTAAATGAATTGGACTAACCTTAGGACTTTCTAGTCTCTGGAAGAGAAAGGTCTCTCCATAAGGAAAGATGGAAGATGAATTTTCTTCATTTGAATCTTTGAGGAAATTATAGAATGAGAATGGAAAGATGTAAATGTGAAATATTGCAAAATAATCAAGGCATGTTTTCATATCATAGTGGTATCATAAGCTTTTATTCTCTGAGAGTCCACAGTTATGCTGATTAAGTCTTACTCCCAAATCCATTCTCCTCTTTTTGACATAGCACTCTCCATCTACAGCCCTCATTTAACAGACAGGACATATTACTCACTTCTTCACGTCTAACATGTTATGGCCACAGAGATCATGCCCTAACTGTGATAAAGTACTGTGTTGCATATGGCCAAGCCCTTTTCGATGTCAAGCAGGGTTTGATCCCTGGCACCACATATGGTCCCCTGAGCACTGTCAGGAGTGAATCCTGAATACAGAGACAGGAGTAAGGCCTGAATACTGTGAATAAACGAAACAGAAAGTATGCCATGTCCTCTAGGTCCCTGCTAATATCTTAGAATCTCTAACAACAGGCAACTGTCTTGAACCCACAAGAACAGTATTAGAAATCTAAGACTAAAACAAATTTATTGTCCTTGTCAACAACATTCACAACAGCTATATGCAGTATCACTCAAAATACCGGAACCCACTTTTCTAAGATCAACAGCTATACTAACATACCTGTACACAATCTCATGGAGTTTCAAAATCCTGTATCACACTCATGTACAGGAAAGAATTATTCCCCTTGCATTTTATTTTCAGCTGTGGTAAAAGTTTTAAAGGTTCAAGTAGCAAGTGTTTGCCTTCTGATTGTCGGGACATATGTTCAACTTGTATGAGCATAATACTAAAAAAGGAGAAGAAAAGAAAGGAAACCCTCCATCTGCGATCCATTTACCACAGGAACAATGATAGAGCTCTCCTGTTACCATGGCAAAATCACTTTCCATACATCTCTGTCCTGTAGCTCAGACTGTTAGAAACCACTCAATTTAGTTAAATGCCTTTGACTATGACTAATGACAGACAAAGCATGTGTGTGTGTGTGTGTGTGTGTGTGTGTGTGTAGGGGTGGGGCTGGGTGGGGGGAGGAGGCTTTTGCATCATCATGTGCAAATTTCCTACAGTCTCTCTCACTATCTTTTACTCATACACCTCTGAAAGTATCTGAAGAACTATGAGCCCGAGTATTATTCCTTATCCCATAGGTGGGCTGCCTTCTCCACTACGGTTTAAACACATTTAAAGCAATCATGGGAGTGCTCATTTATAGACTTTAAATGCTGCTACTCACTCTGCTGCATTACAGGCTTTCCAGATGAGGTAGTACCATTTCTTCTCTCTCGAATATAGCTTAAAGCAAAAGGGAAAACTGATGAGTTGAAGTAGATATAAGAAAAACGGATGTTACTACCGAGTAAAGGATTAATTCAAGACATATTCTCTTGGGGTAGAAAAACCAATACTCACAAAAACTATACCCTTAATGAACCAAATGGCTAGTACTATGTGTGTTTCTCTAAATAGCCGTGAAAAATTGTGATTTTTACTTGATTCTACCCATGTTTCATTTTCACACTTAAAATTCACAAAAAGTGAATCAAAATATTTGCTCAAGGCTTATTTGAATAGAAAATTTCAAAACTGCTGACCATGTGAGAAACAAATTTTCTAAACCAGCCTCCATGTTTATGTAATTATTCCATGATTAGATATATAATGTTGAGACAGAAATTCACCTAGAATAATGAAAAAAATGCACAAAAGCTATTCTAGAAGATCTAGGATTACTGTTTGGGGAGAGAAAGACATCTAACAGATAATTTCAATGGAAGACAATAGAACAGCAATAACAAGGTCAAACCATGTGGGAACAAAGTTTAATGATTACTACTACCAAGTGAATTAGTGTTCATCTAAATTAAGGAATAGGACAGTGTCCTTACTTTATTAATATATATTACAATTACATGGTATTATTATGTATGTTACTTTCCATCTAAATCATGGATAAAGATGACATTCTTTATACACACAACACACACACACACACACACACACACACACACATATATCCAAAGACGTGCATGTCAGAAATTTAAAAGAAAGGAATAGAGTGTGGATAAATTTAAAAATCATTGTAGATGTTGAAGAGAGAATACAGCATGTAAGTTCTTGCCTGAACCTGGCCAGGTTTGATCCACAGCAGCCATTAATACCCTCCAAGTCCTGCTAAGAATCATCTCTGAGCACAAAGTCAGAAGTAAGCCCTGAGCTTCACTGGTATGGCCAAACCCCCACAAAAATGTAAACAAAGAGGACTCTCTTTGGGGGGGGGGACAGTAAAACTGCTCAGTGAAGGAAATGACACAAGTATCCAATACAAGGAAATAAAAGACATCGACATCAATAAAAATTCAGGAAACATTAAAGCGATAACTGCATAGAAGAATGTATGCCAATAAATTTGACAACTTAGTGAAAAAAACATAACAGGATGTAAATTACCAATTATGAAGCAGGAGCAAGTATAAAATCCTAGTATTTCTATGTGTATTAGAGTAATTCAATTAAGTAATTATATACCAACAAAAACTCTAGGCCCAGATATTTCACAGGTGAATTCCACCGAACATTTAAAAATAAATATGGCTAACTCTAACAAACTAGTTCAGAAAATATGGAGACGAGAAAGAGATACTTACAAACTCATTCGATAAGGACAGTCTTATTAACAGAACCAATCAAAAAAAGAAAAAAGACCAAAACTACATATAACACACAAGCAACAAAAATATTACTCATAAACACAGATGCAAAATTATTAACAAAATGTCAGCAAATCGAATCTGACAATATGTAATAAGGCCAATATGTTATGGCCAAATGTGATTTACTCCTGAAAAGCAAAGGTGGATTATTTAACGTTTTCAATTTCAAAAATAGATTCAACATTTACTGGTAGATGGGCAAGGGTTGTCCCAAGCATTGGTCACGAGGAGCCAGGGGACGACAGGCAATTCTCAATCAGACAGGATGTGGTTCACTGCAAGGGGACATGCATACCAGGGATACCAAGTGGTGCCAGGGATACCTGGGCCAGCCTGGCTGTGCTGAGGGATTCAGGCCACATCCAGATAAAGTCCAGAGCCCCTAATGCCACAACCAGTAATGCTTAACTATCTCCCCACTCCCTGTGGACAGTGTCACAGGAATTAACCAGATCAACTGCAAATAATCTACAATGGTCAAAACCAATTATTTAGAAGAATAAAAATGTGAGATTGCATTATACAATTTTAAAATTATAGCAATCACACGATATGGGAAAAAGAAGGACATAAAAATATACCAAATCAAGCCAAACGTCCATATATCCTCCCACATATCTGTGTCCTACTGATTTTTCTTTTTCGTTTACAATTTTTCTGGCTTTGGAGTCATACCAGGAAGTGCTCAGAGTTTAATCCTGACTCCGTGATCAGGAATCAGTCATAATGAGGTTCAGGGGATCTTATGGGGTACCTTAACCATTCTGCTGTATTAACACTCAGGTGCCTGGTTTTTCTTTTAAGATCACGGTCACGGTCTTCCCGTTGCTCATCGATTTGCTCGAGCAGGCCCAGTAACGTCTCCATCGTGAGACTTGTTGTTACTGTGTTTGGCATATCGAGTACGTCACGGGTAGCTTGCCAGGCTTTGCCGTGAGGGCGAGATACTCTCAGTAGCTTGCCAGGCTCTCTGAGAGGAGCAGAGAAATCGAACCCAGCTTGGCCGGGCTGAGCTGCACACAAGGCAAATGCCCTACCGCTGTGCTATCGCTCCAGTCCTAGATGTCAAGGCAATTAAGTGGCAATAGTGTCTTCAACAAATATTGTTTTGTAAATGAATAACTCAACGAAGAGAATATCGATCGTTACTTCCAAAGTGAACAAAAAAGTAAACAAATAGAATTTTGATTTAGCTGTTAATACTAAAACTCCAAAGCAGAGGATAAAACCATTCTAATCTTAAAGTATGCAAATATTTATTAAATAAGACTAAGAGCCATAAAATCAAAAAAAAAGAAGAAATTGAAAAGTTAGAGCTTAGCAAAACACTGATGTCATATATTTCTTACAAGGGACTCACATCTGAAGTACAAGAATACTTAAAATCTATAAGAAAAATCTCGTAGCACTGTAGCACCATTGCACTGTCCTCCCATTGTTCATCGATTTAGTATTGTAAAAAAATTAGAATGGCCACTTGCCAAAGACAGGACCTTGATACCAACCACATCCTCCAGTCAAATGGCCAGAGAGAGAATGCAGCAGGCAAGCATCAGACCAAGGACTGAGCCACAGTACCACACAAATGGTCCCCCAAGCACTGCCAGGAGTGATCCCTGAAGCACAGAGGCAAGAGAAACCCTAAGCACCACTGCCAGGTATGCCTCCAAAACAAACAAAAAGTAAGGCCATAGAACAACCAGAATGTTTAAATTGAACTGGCAAGAATGTGTATCCACTTTGACAAAACTACTTGGCAGTTACTACTAAACTTAATTACTGACCAGACTTAAGAGCAGACCTATTCAATCACAGAAACTCTAAAGACTCTGAAAAAATATATCTCTACACAGAGACTTTTTTGCTCTCTTTCTCCATAATAGCTTTATTCTTAATAACTAAAAATGAGATAAACTGACCAATACTTAAATGATAAAGAAATAGCGGGACTGCACAGGAATACCATCCAGTCTAATCACATACACAGTCAGGGCCTCGCTCAGAGCACTGAGGTGCTCGAGCCCACATACAAAAGGCCCCATCCCAGCACCATCTCACTCCCTATGCACTGCCAGCACCTAGCACTGAACTGCTGAACCTCTACACTCAATTGGTCAGGTCCTCATTGACAGGCGAGTATCTCAATGGGCTCTGGACACCTGAACCACACTGGATGCACCTGAGGGTCACTGTGTTACCGTGTTGAGTAAAAGATGCTGGACACAAAGCTCACCGTAGAGAAGTCCATTTCTCTCTCTTTCTCTCTCTCTCTCTTTGGGCCACACCCAGTGATACTCAAGGGTTACTCCTGGCTGTATACTCAGGAATCACTCCTGGAAATGCAAGAGGACCATATGGGATACCAGGGATCGAACCTGGGTGCAAGGTAAATGCCCTACCCACTGTGCTATCGCTCCAGCTCCGAGAAGTCCATTTCTATGTCCTTCCAGAATTGGTAAAAATGGTTTGAGCAGCAGCTGCCTGATTCAGAGAGGGGAAGGTAATTTTCTGCAAATGGGCAACTGTTTGGGGGAATAACAGTTTTTATTAAAAACCTGTCATGATCTATTCTCTTATCATAACAACAAGTCTCACGATGTAAACGTTACTGGACCTGCTCGAGCAAATCGATGAACAATGGGAGGACAGTAACAGTGACTATGGCAGTGGTCACCTGGGCCTATATTTGCCAGATTCATCAGTTCAGGTGCTGAGAGATAGCTTAAGCAGCAGGACACATGCGTGGAACGTGTAAGGCTCTACGTTCTTTTTCTGGCACAGAACAGTGCTGCTCATCATTTCTATAGCCCTGGTGGCTTCCTACTACCACCAGGAGGAGCACCTTAAAAAAATATAATAAGAAAATCAACCTTTATATCTAAACTAACCTATGCTAATATACATTATAAACTTGACTTGTGTGAACACATAAGTATATTATTTAATTTAGTAAACATGCGTTGAACATAATAAATATGAATACCAATAAACATACACACAAAATAATGGATGATTTTTAGAATATGTGATTTTAATCAACGACAGAATAGATATCAGATCAAATATTATACAGAAGCAAAAATAAACTACAACCACAGGTACCAACGTAATTGGAGATCAAAGTTAAGCAAGGTGTGTGGGACACTCACCATACAGTCTGATCTGATTTTGTTTGGGGGACACACATGTGGTATTCAGGGCTTAGTCCTGGCTCTGTGCCCAAGGGTCACTCCTGGAGGCACTCCGGAACTGTAAGCAGTGCCAGGGTTCAAACTGGGATCAGTCCTGTGCAAGACAAGGATCTGAAGCCCTGTATTATGCACCCAGTAACGGGTGCCTAAGTTTTAAAAGTTCATAAACAGGCAATAACTACCCTTCAACCATGTAGTCATTTTAAATCTTCCATGTAGAAAGGTTTTATTGGGAGAATAAATTTTAAAGTAATATTTCAAACATGACTTACAGTTTTTCTTTGCTACTGAAAATTTTCATTCTGCAGTTCTAGTGAATGGCTATTTGCAGCGCTGAGGACCACCTGGGGTCTAAGTTATTTAAATTTACAAATGTTAAGGTTTAGAACAA